TGTAGATGGGGTTATGGGGCTTTATCTACACATGACACAAGTGCAACCTAAGGTTACTTATGTGGTTATTTTATTATGTGTTATGATGATTGATATTTGCATTATGACTATGATTAGAGACTATGCTTATGGTGATTGTTCTATCCTATGTGCTTTGATGAACTATATGTGAGTTGCTTATGACTTGTGATTCTCTAATCTCTTAAGATGATGTTCAAAAGTTGCATATAGCATGGTTTCAAATAAATGTCCCTTTTATGCATGTTTTAAGGATTTTATGCATGGCTTCCATACTTACTACTCAATTGTGATAACCCATATTTTCTTTTACATTACTATAAAAGTGTAGGTTTCAACAAGTGATAGAGTTCTCTAGATCAAGGGCTTGGAAGAAGTTCTTCAAGACTAAGTGGTATGTCCTCATAATTCGAGGACAAGTGTTTAGAAGGTTATGATCTTTCATTAGTAATATATTATGTCTAGTTTATTTTAAGAGTTTTGATTGTAAAGTGTCTTGACCTTATCTTTAGATTCCAATGTCCTGTTTAGATGGCTACGTGAGATGGTAGACTTCAGTTATATTTTTAAATGGTGCGTTTTTGAAGTGTATGGTTTTTAAATAAAAAGTTTTAATTATGTAACATTTTCCTTATAATCAAATGTGATTAATTCTACAAGGCTTGTATGAGACTCTTTGGAGTCTTGTATGCTGTCTCATGTCTACAGGGTGCTCTCGGGGTGTAATAGTACCTATAAAATCCTAAACTTTTTTGAGCTAAGACCCGGACTATCTTTCATAGTAATTAGTATTTCACCAAGGAAATTAAAATTTTTGTAAGTGTTAAGGTCACTAGATGTAGCACATTGAGTTCCAAAAAGAACTAAATTAGAAATAGCAAAATCTTAAATTTTGCAAGTTATGCTTAAGTTATGAGTTCTAGGTCAACTTCAAATGACCGTAACTCTTAGTAAATAATTAATTAGGTTGTGTAAAATATATCTAATGAAATTTATTTAAATTATATTTCCAACGAGTTTGTTATGTTTCGGATTCAAATGAGTCATATATGACCTTTCGAAGTCAAGATGTACAATTAAGTAATGTTACCTGAAAATAGTGAGGGGTATTTTTGGTCTTTGCTTATCAAATCAGATTTATTTCATTTTTAGTAAGGGTATAATCCTATTATGTTTGGCTTTATAATCCTAATCTACGCCTAGGGTTTTAGTTGAGAATTCAAGAAGAGAAAAGAGGAGAAAAGAGGAAAGGGTCAAGACTTTTATCGAGGTTCTTCAGTTTTGTTGCAGATTTTTTCCATGGGTCTTATCCCTAAGAGGTATGTAAGTTTCCATATTTTTTGGGTTCATTAAACCACATTCCAAACATGATTGTCATATTCTAATTTGCCCATAAAGATTGAAATATTTATGTTTTTGATGTTTCATTCTAAGACTTGTTTTGTTGGGGTTTGATGATTTATTGAGATGACAGTGAGTGTTTTGAGGGGTTTATTGAGTATATTGGTTTGTAATTATGTTGATAAACTGAATCAAAGTGATTGAGGAAGAAACCCTTCGAATCTAGGTTAACTAGGGTGAGAAAATGAGCAAAGAAAGTCATCCGGTTTTTTGGCGGCGCTTGGGGCGACGTGCCACCAATATGATAGGGATGGATGGAGAGCCACCCGATTTATTACTACAAGAATAATTATATATATTTTAGGGGATGGCTCCCACAGCACTTAGTACGCCAGGGTTGCCTGCCCCACTCGTTCTTCATCGTTTCATCCGTTTGAGCTCTTTCAAAGGGTATGTTTACTCTCCTTCGATTATAAAAACATTAAAGTACTTCTAAACACCGAGAAATTATTTATCACTTGAATTCATAAGTCAAATTTAAGGTACAGTTAAGAGTGAATCCTTGAGAGTTCTTCCGAACATTTTAATAAAGTCCCTTTGAGTTTTTTTAGAGGAGTGTTGTAAAACTTCTAATAACTTTTTTGAAGAATCAATAAGTGATATGGAGAGTGAGGACAATGTATTCATGAGTCTACAGTATCATCGGGAACTTTCATATCATGAACCATAACTCTTGAATTCATAATCGAAATTCAAGAGAGAGTTAAGAGTAGACTTCATGTAAGTCTTTGAGTGCAATTGTGGATCCTTTTATATCAACAATAGATTTGAGATAAGTATTGAGGAAGTAAGTATGAGAATGAGAAAACTAGTATACACAATTTCCATATTGTTATGTAGCCCCTTGATTGAGTTGTTCATGCCCATAAATTTTGCATGAACTCCATAAGTTGATTAACGTCTTGATTATTGAGTTCCTAACCCCCTTTTCTAAGATTATTTCTAATTATGGGACTATTTCACGTTACTCATGAAATCTTTGAGTTGAGTAGTTCATGCCCATAATTCCGCATGAACACTATAAGTCGAGCAGCCTTGAGATGAGAATTATCATTGAAGTTCTTTAGTTCCAAGTATTGAGTTCTATGTATGGTTATTGAAAACCTTGGACTTATTCGTAGATGTCCATAATTCGACATGAACCTTATTTTGATAAGACTTTTACAAATTTTAAAGACTTGAACATTTGTTTGAGTAAGATTGAGTGTACGACCAGAATCTAGACCCTAGACGAGACATTGCGTCGTTGACCTCTCAGAGGTCGCAAACAAGCCTACATACGTTATTATTATTTCATCTAGGTTAATTTTAGTAGAAAATTTGAACTTTTTGTTTTCTTATTTAATTTTAAACATTTTAAACTTAACATCATAGGCATTCAAAAATTAGCCATCTAATATAGAGATAATCAAATGAAAGAAACAGTTCATAATTGCATTAAACAAATTCTTGCAAAAAAGGCACCTATACAAAGTCTGAAATGAAAGTGGAATGAAACACTAGTGGAACATGCTCCGCTAGCTATGGACTACACCTAAGCTAGATAATAACGATAGACATCCTCGAAAGCATGAGGGCGTATCAAGTCCGGATGAAAGCTCCACGTCTTGATAGCTACAACGTCAACTTGTAAGCTCTAGCGTCCACCTGTGCCTGCACCTAAAATTGTAGAATTATATGGGATTAATACACACTTGAACTAAATATGGGTATATACAAGCACACACCAAAGACATGCATCAGTTCGAACAACTCTTTCCTAACAACATGATTATGGAAACTCAAGTCAGTGGACTTGCCAAAATGGGATTAGTAAAGTTAGCGACCTTTCCAAATTTTGATTAGGAAAGTCATTCCATGAGAGTAACATGCATCATCATAATTATCATACTTCACACAACACATAACATCTTACACATAGCACATTTCGTTTTGCATATTGCACATAACATCTTACACATAGCACATATCGTTTTGCATATAGCACATAACATATTTCTTATCATTCATTCATATGCCATGAGACCTTGGAATCATGGAATTGACATTAATACTTCCCTAAATAAGGGCTCAACATATGGGACCTCAACTAGGGACCCTTCTTTAGCAAACACAGAGTCTGCTTCATTCATTCATACGTGCTTCATTTCATTTCATTCATAGGCTAGTGTAAATACCAACTATACCTAGGATGTAGTTTAAGACTTTCATCGGGTTCACTATGCAATAATAAAGAATGACCTAGTGCCACTACTTAATTATAGCTCACCTCTTGATTATCCTATCCTAACACCTTTAGTAACTTTCATTTCATTATGTGCATCATTTGAGGCTGGCCTCATTCATTCTTTGGGAACTTTAACTTTAGCCGACATAGATCATGTGAGTATCATGAAATCTAGTGTCTCCTCCACACCAAGAAGAGGTGGAATCACCGGCCAAAGTGACCCAAAACATGCTAGTGTACATGGGAATTGAACCTCGCCAGATCCCTATATTAGCAGTATAGGTTCAAAGACTAGGAGATATAAGGAGACCTATACCCAGCATGTCGAACAATCTCATATCATGAGAGTTACGTGAACCTCCGCCCTTCTCGAAAGAAGCCATCACTGCTTATAGCTAGTCTATCGGTGCTTAGTATAAAGTTCCATTATATTCAACTCATACGTCATGGAAGCTGGCTTCTAGTATAAGGACATCATGGCTCAATAGAAGATTTCTCATATCATCATTAGTATTATGTGTGGTAATCTCAATACTTCCATAAGAGTGTTCATATAGACTTTTATCTTCATTAACTTTAAACTCTCATAGGTGAGTAAGTTTTGGTACCATTAACTTAGGCTCATTTGAGATTGCTCTCCTCTTTTACATTAGCCTCATATCATGTTGTCACCACAATCATTAGTATAAGCACATTTGCTCTTCATAATTACTCACCCTTTTTTACGTGAATGTTCATTTCATCATATGCCAATGCACTCAAATATTTAGTGTGTTTGACACTATTACTTAAACCTTCTAGGGTTTCATTAGTTCATTGTTCATATCATCATTTCATTACATACATCTTAGGTTCACTTACTTCTAACGTATTCTAGACTTATGAGTATATATATACAAGCCATGAGGCTTCAATCATAATTCGTTTAAGTGATTCATATCTTCCTAAGATTATGTAGTGCAAGACTTATGCATCTTGTATGTATGACAAGATCTCGATTCCGATCTATGTAGGCAGAGGTATGTTAAACATTTATTCACGTATGACTTATGTGTCAATACGGAATTTTGGGCAAGGGAACCCGGTTTCGAATCCCTTGGAAAACACTTACATTTTTTCTTTATTTTATTTTGGTCCACATGGTACTATGACAATCCATGAAAGCATAACAACTATGAAGCCAGTCCATGCCAAGAATAACATCTAAATCATGCATTGGTAACTCAACCAAGTCTGCACACATAGTCTTACATCATAAAACTGTGGGCAATCCTTGTATACTCTATCAATTCTTACATTTCCTCCTAAAAGTGTACTAACCGCTATTGGATCATGCAAAACTTCAGGAAAAATCTCAAAAGTGAGAAAATGCAAAGAAGTTACAAAGGAAAGTGTAGACCCTGGATCAAGTAAAAGATAAACAGAAGTTGAGAATACTTGTAGCATACCTGTGACCACATCAACAAACTTCTCCTGCTCCTCCATGCCCTTTAGGCCATAGAACCTATTCCTCTTAGGAGGCTCGGATGCTGCTGCATCCTTTGGATTAGGCCTAGGCTGAGCATTACTTACAACCTGACCTTTTTTCCGTGGGCAGTCCTTAACCATTTGTCTGCTCTTACCGCAACCGAAGCAGGCATTAGTGCCCTGTCTGCACTCTCCACTGTGAGAACAACCACACTTAGCAAAGTCCTTTATGGGACGCTGCATCTCATCTCCATTTCCCTTCCTGAGCTCGGGTCTGCCTCCTCTAGATGCTGCACTCCTCTGAGAGTTAGAGTTCCCTAAAATCTGTTACGCCTTTTTGTATATGGGATGCTCATGGACACCAAAGTTGTTTCTGATGCCTTCATTATTAGGACCTGCCTGATCTTGAGGCTTAGGCCTCCTAGCATCATGTAAGCCTCTCTTATTTCGTCTGTCCTCTACATGTTAGACATGTACCCTCAACCTGGAGAGGTCCATATTATCGTGGAGCATTGCAGACTGACACTCCTCCTCCAGATCTCTGTTGATTCCTGTTAGGAACCTACTCATCTCATCCCTTTTTCTAGATACAAGGGAAGTAGAATGCCAGGATAGTTTAACAAACTTCAGGGAATACTCCCTGACTGTCATGGATTCCTGCTTAATGTTGATAAACTCATCAACCATGGACTCCCTCATATCTCTGGGAAAGAATCTCTCCAGAAAGGTTGTCTTAAACAGCTCCCAAGTGACCGGAACTCCATCCAAAACTTGGCTGTCTTGCCACATCTTGCACTAAGTGTGTGAAACATCCTTGAGTTGATCGGAAGCCAACTTTGCTTTCTCAGTATCTTCGGCCCCCAAGCCACCAAAAATCTTATGCACCTCATCCACAAACTCCTGAGGATCTTTTGAAGTATTAGACCCTGTGAAAATAGGAGGATTCATCCTCGTAAAGTATCTCTGCCTGTCAGCCATACTGTAAATATGTGGGTTCTCCCTCTTAACATTCTACCGGTTGACCTGGTCAGTTATGGCCTGGGCTTGCATAGTGATGACCTGTGTCATCTGGGCCAGAGATGCCCTCACCCGAGCATCAGTCAGCCCAGCAGGGTTAACCAGCATAGCCATTCCTTCTGGAGAAGCCTGGGGTGGAACCTGATTGACCTCAGCAGCTGCTCCTCCTCTCCTTTGACCAATTGTTCTCCTAGTATTCATTTTCTGAAAAACAACAAGGATTGATGTTAGATACGCTCATAAAACCAAGAAAATCAGACATTAGGAAAGACACAATAAGATTAGAATAAGGGAAATTTTCGTACGCATCATGCAGTCTCTAAATCAGGATAGTGTTGCACTTCACTACCATGACTTAGAAACTAATCAATGTTGTTGATTTTATTTTATTAACCTCGGAATTTAACCTAGCACTCTGATACCAACATTGTCACAACCAAAATCTAGACCCCAGAAGACTTGCATCGTTGACCACTCAGAGGTCGCAGACAAGACTACATACGTCATTCTTATTTCATCTAGGTTAATTTTAGAAGAAAATTTGAACTTTTTGTTTTATTATTTCATGCTAAACATTTTAAACTTAACATCATAGGCGTTTACAAATCAACCATCTAATATAGAGATAATCAAATGAAAGAAACAATTCATAATTGCATTAAACGTATTCTTGCCAAAAGGTACCAATACAAATTCTGAATTGAAAGTGGAAAGAAACACTAGTGGAACATGCTCCTCTAGCTATGAACTACACCTAATCTAGATAATTATGGTAGACATCCTTGAAATTATGAGGGCCTACCATGTCCGGATGAAAGATCCATGTACGGATAGCTGCAACGTCAACCTGTAAGCTCTAGCGTCCACCTGTTCCTGCACCAAAAATTGTAGAATCATATTGGATTAGTACACACATTTAATAAGTATGGGTATATGTAAGAACACACCAAGGACATGCATGAGTAAGAACAACTCTTTCCTAACAACATGATTATGGAAAGTCAAGTAAGTTGACTTGCCAAAATGGGATTAGGGAAGTTAGTGAACTTTCCAAATTTTGATTAGGAAAGTCATGCGATGAGAGTAACATGCATCATCATACTTATCATACTGCACACAACACATAGCACATATCATTTTGCATATAGCACATAACATCTTACACATAGCACATATCGTTTTGCATATAGCACATAACATATTTCAAATCATTCATTCATATGCCATGAGACCTTGGAATCATGGACTTGACATTAAGACTTCCCAATATGAGTGCTCAACATATGGGACCCAACTAGGGAGCCTTATTTAGCAAACACAGAGTCTGCTTCATTCATTCATACACACTTTATTTAATTTCATTCATAGGCTAGTGTGAATACCAGCTATACCTAGGATGTAGTTTAAGACTTTCATCGGTTTCGCTATGCAATGATCAAGAGTGACCTTGTGCCATTACTTAAGTACAGCTCACCTCTTGATTATCCTATCCTAACACCTTTCGTATCATTCATTTCATTATGTTCATCATTTGAGGCTGGCCTCATTCATTCTTTGGGAACTTTAACTTTAACCGACATAGATCACGTGAGCATCATGAAATCCAGTGTCTCCTCCAAACCGAAAAGTGGTGGAATCACCGGCCAAAGTGACCCAAAATATGCTAGCGTACATGGGAGTTGAACCCCGCCAGATCCTTATATTGGCAGTATAGGTTCAAAGACTAGAAGATATAAGGAGTCCTATAACCGGCATGCCGAATAGTCTCATCTCATGAGAGTTAGTGAACCTCCTCCCTTCCCGAAAGAAGGCATCACCACTCAAAGCTAGTCTATCTGTGCTTAGTATAAAGTTCAATTATATTTAACTCATACATCATGAAAGCTGGCTTCCAGTATGAGGACATACTTCCATTAAAGTGTTCATAGAGACTCGTCTCTTCATTAACTTTACACTCTCATAGTGAGTACGTTTTTGTAACATTAACTTAGGATCATTTGAGATTGCTCTCCTCTTTTACATTAGCCTCATATCATGTTGTCACCACAATCATTAGTATTAGCACATTTGCTCTTCATAATTACTCACCCCTTTTTACGTGAATGTTCATTTCATCATATGCCCATGCACTTGGACATTTAGTGTGTTTCACATTATTACCTAACCCTTCTAGGGTTTCATCATTTCATTGTTCATATCATCATTTCATTACATACATCTTAGGTTCACTTTCTTCTAATGTATGCTAGACTTACAAGTCTATACATACAAGCCATGAGGCTTCAATCATAATTCGTTTAAGTGATTCATATCTTCCTAATATTATGTAGTACAAGACTTATGCATCTTGTATGTATACCAAGATCTCGATTCTGATCTATGTAGGTAGCATTTTGTTGAACATTTATTCACATATGACTTATGTGTCAATACGAAAGTTTGGGCAAGGGAACCCAACTTCGAATCCCTTGGACAACACTTACATTTTTACTTTATTTTATTTTGGTCCACACGGTTTGGGGACCCAAGATCTAGCCCCAACACCTTCGTTCCTTTTAATTTTTTTCCTTTGATATTTGGCCGAGGGGTTGCGGGATCGAGCCCCCATAACCCCTTTTATTTTTTATTTTTATTTTTTTAATTTCTTTTTACTTGAATTTTTTTTGAGTTGACCATGAGGGTTTGGGATCGAACCCCCACAACCTCACTTTATTTATCTTTTAATTCTCCTTTTCCTCCTAGAGGTCGGTGGTTCGATTCACACGCCTAACATTTATTTTATTTTCAATTTTTTTCTTAAGCTTGAGGGAGAGGTTGCAGGTTCAAATCCCACTCCTCTCATTTATTTTTATACATTATTTTCCTCTAGGAGCACCCAAGTTTGAATCCCCTTAACCCCATTTCTTCATTTACGTTTGATAGTGTTTTTCCTGGGTGAGGTTACGGGTTCGATCCCTAATGACCTCACCTAATTCTCACTCATTTATAATTTCAGATTTGTTCATCCATGTTTAGCCTAAACCAATCTTACAAGTTGCTGGAATTTTTATCACTTTTTCAACTCACTTTCAACAACATTTTTACGTAAATTCATAGGTAATTCGTAGCTCATTTAATACATTCTTAGGTGCATTTTCATGTATTCATTTAACAAAGAGATTATTACTCAACTCAGCCACATTTAATCTCATATGAACATCACGATTTACATAAACATTTGTACATGAAATACAAAGAACTAACATGTCATTTCAAGTCCTAAACTGTGACAAATAGCCACGACAACACACCAAAACACACGTAGTTACACTTTCAGAAAACATTAACATAAGTCACATAATTTCGAACATACATATAAAAGCATAATCTTCACGAAAACAAGTTTCATCCCCAGTTTTCTACCAGCAAACGTAACCAAACTATGATTCAATGAGAGCTAGTGAAAGGGACATGCAATGGGGAACAACCCTAGTTTTTGGAATAGATTCTTCTAAACCTTACGAGTCTCTTGGGAAAGGGACAAGGAGAGAAGAGAACCTATGCCTTTTTGACATTCAAACCTCGATGCGCTTCCCAAAGAATTCCTTCAAACACACGTCCAACACCGAAATTTCAACACCAACTCGACGGACAACCTTCTCTTTGCCTAAGTGAGTGATTTCGTTTTTTGTTTTTACCTTTCGTGGTGAGTTCTTCAAGGGTGAAGAAACTGGTTTATCTTTATGTTCTTGATGTTATTTTGGCATAGACAATGTGAAAAAGAAGAGAGAATGACCGTTAATGTTGAGGAGATAGACGTGAGAGAGTGAGAGTTGTATTAGGCTTAAGAGTCTAGTTTAGGACTTAGTCAAATAAGGTTTTATGAAATGATAAAAAAATATGATTTCCTTTATTTTTTTTAAAAAATCAAGTAATAAATAATAAATATTAATTAATTACATTAATTTACCAACTTAAGTTAAATGCAAATTTAATTCATTGATTCCACCTACGTTCGAACCGGGGTGGAGCAAGACTTCACGCTAAGAGACAATTTTCGGCCCTGTATCCCAAAAACCCCTCCACCTTATTAATCTAATAGTTAAAAATATATTTAGGGTAATTACGATTCTACCCTTAGCCTGAAAAAAGACCATTTTACCCCTAGACCCTCCAAACCTAAGATTTTTCCTTTTTAAGTCTGGTAAAGAGTCCTTCGAGTAAATCTTCGTATTCGAGAGCCCTACATGTATGGACACAACCTTTCCTATCCCAACTAACTCCCCAAGTTACTTGTATTGGCTGTTTTAAGGGTTCAGAGGTCTGGTTCTACACACATCAATCTGTGTAAACATGGTCTAATCGTAGGCATTCTAGATACATTAAGCATTATTTAGCATAGCCATTTCTTTTAGGGTTGTTACATTAAGAGTGAAGATAATTTCTTCAAGAGGTTATATCAGAACTAAATGTTCCCAAGATTCAAAATGTTTTCACATTTAAACAAGAGAGAAAACACCGTTTTCCAAGAGAGGAAACACTGACTTTTAAGAGATCTTTTAATATAGTTTTTGAGTAATAATAAAAACCATAGAAAAAGTTATATTTTTAAACATATAAGATAGTATACTTTGAGAGTAACATTGAGCACTTATATGGAGATATGAGGGAGAGTTCAGACAACTCACAACACCCATAAACCATGTAGCTAGAATGGGTAGAAAAGGGCCACACTTTATCCTTAATGATTTTAGCATAGACCAGTGGATACATTTAGTTAGTTAGGTTCTATA